AAAGCGGCGAGTTTGAGCTAAGATTTCGTGTCTTGTCTGCTCGATCTGTCAAGTAGCATCTGCATAGAAGATCAGAAACGATGCTGCTTGCCTCGCGTCACCACAGCGGGTATTCCGAGACATGCAATATACACAGGCTTTACTATTACTAGACGGCTCATACCAGCAGCAAACCCACCGAAAACATCTACCTGATTAGATGTTGACTTGTCCAATATCAGCCCTGTGAGTCAGTTGTAGAGGCTTACCAGGATGACCAACATTCACTGCCCGCAGGTGTAGTAGCCGAGTCGACAGAGAAAATCTTTTCATCACATCAGAGGGAAACATCAGCTCACCAGACTCGAAAACGCACGTCGTCAGCTCCCACGCGTAGGCCGTGATTTCATCTGCATAATGGTACATAACCTGCAAAGTGAGGGTAGTGCAGCTCTGATTTCGAGTCTCAGCCCCCTGGCTAGTGAAGGGTCTTCAGGACTTCCAGAGAGAACATACAGATGAATTCCGACACCACAATTCTCTTCTGCTCCGCTTCATATCCTTTCTCACGGATGAGTTCGACATCGACATCGACCCCAGATCTCTACCTGACTGTGAGAAAAATAAAAGTGCGAATGAGGAGACTGTCCGATACTCGATAGCGGTCAGGCTGTTAAAAGAGTTCTGGGATGTGCACTGCGACATTGATCCTAACGCAGAGAAATCCAGTGACATCGTGGACTACCAGTTTATTGTGAAGCTCTTCTACTAGCATCTGAACAGGCAAACGAGACGCCCGTCGAACCTAACCAGACCGGAAGGTGTCGAAACCCGTGCAGAAAGAGCTGAACGACGCCGCAGACTATTCGATATGGACCTCCGCTCCCTGTTAGAAAGACAGCGAGAAACAATAGACCTCAAGGAAGAATCACAGCACCAAGACCAAAGGTAGCAGTCTAGTAAAGAAAGTGGCGGGCGTAAGAGATGGAGATTTACCCGATGCAGACAAAGACGAACCAGGGAACCAACTATCTCCAGAATCCGAGAGCATGCAGAATAATATAGACACAGTGGTCTCGGAACCCACGGGCATCTCGATCGTTCTCGGCAATTTTAGTTCTATTGACCGACTGAGAATATTGGACACGATTATAGACAAGGTGATGAGCAAATACGAAGGCCGCTATGGTACGTTCTTGAAGTCTGATTCCGGAAGGAGCCTAAAGGCTGTTCTCGAGATAAACCTCAATCAGAAAGTCAAATTACTCTGCGAGGCTGGGACGTTTGAATTGGACAGGTTGGTACCCTGCCCACATTGTTGAGTAATACTGAGCAGAACCTTCCCAGGTTGCTCCAAATCGGTAATATGGGAGAGCAGCCAAACGACTCGGGTGTTAAATGCACATTCTTTACAGAAGAAGCAATCCAGGACGTTTCTGGCTGTACGTGGGACAGGCGTTCAAACTGCATGAGAGGATCTCCAGCCACAACGATCCTGCACATAGACAGGCTCAGCTCAGTTTACACTACCACGTCTGGGATTTTGCCGAGAACACGTGTCCGAGTTCGTCACGCTTGCAGTGCACCTCGTCCAGAGATGACCCATTCATCCCGGGAGATTTGGCCGCCTTGAAAGAAGCCATTGGAGGAACAGAGGCGTTCAAAGATTTTCTCAACTCGCCTGACTCCGCCGTCAGAGGCTGGGCGTGGGACCTTAACAATGCCTTTAATGATCTCCGAAACTCACCAGTTCCGACCCACCGAGCTTACTGCTTGATGTCATGCTTCCAAACCGCAAGTTGGCAGAAGAGGTTTGCGAGAAGAGTAAAATAGAGAACTTGCAGCGAATATTGTCTGAAGGAATGACGAGAACCATCTTTAGTGGAGACGATACGCAGAAGGCTTATCTCATCAGCTGCAGTGCCTTCGCATTTACTATTTCCAGACGAGTGCGGCTGGGAGTGCGAGTCGGGGACCTAGTGAGGCTGCGATTCCATCTCACAGCAACACCGAATCCCCAGAAGTATGCAGCCAAAGCTTCACAGACTGATCCGGCCAGTAAGTTGGCAGTGTCAATTGGAGGAGCGAGGAATTCATGGTGATTACCATGTCTGGCTCAGAAACCACGGTGACAAAGTCGTCAGTAGGATGAACGCACCAGAAACGACACGTCCTTACACCAATCTACCAATGCCAGTAGCTTATACGGCGAGTAAAGTGGCAACTTTGCGCATGTTCCGACGTCCACCAGCCAAAGAGCCTTGACTTCCCGATCAAAAAAATAGTTAGCTCTGCCGCGACCCCACCACATTGGCTACTACACCTACGTGCTTAACGAGGAAGTACCTTACTTAGCCTTGAGTACTCCGTAGCTCGGTCTCTACAAGAATGTGGAGACGAAGATCTAAAAAGTAAACAGACAAAAAGATATCCTAATCCCCCGAGCCGGAATCGAGCCGGCGACCTGTCGGTTACAATTATTCTATTACAGCCGACCGCCATATCCAACTAGACCATCGGGGGTTGAAGGATGGTAGATGAGGATCGCTATTTGTAGATAGCGACCTAAATCTGACGTGAGATGGACTGTCAACGAAGCCCTTAGCCGAGTCAAGGTTGAGCTGCGCAGGTAGCAGAGGAGTCTTCTCGGAGCAGGCTTGATTGGTCGCTCCCAATGCCAAGGACGGAAAGAGCAGGATGATAGCAGTCTTGCAGGAGTGGGCAAGCGGTTCTTCGGCATAAGGCGAATTCTGCAGAGTGAGCCCTACACATCAGGACTGTTGTCGATGTCAGGATGCCATTTCGAACAATCGGCGATTTTGCAAGCATATTGTTGATGATATTCCGTCAATCGGCCTGCTCTCTTGTCATGATGGTCTTGATACATTGGCAGCTGGATGGAAGAAGCCACTGCGTAGCGAGACGAAAGACGAAAAAAAAGAGAAAAGGGAGAAATGGAAGTGTTGGGAGAGAGAAAATACATTAAAAAAGATAACCCTTACTCCCCCGAGCCGGAATCGAGCCGGCGACCTGTCGGTTACAATTTCCATTACAGCCGACCGCCATATCCAACTAGACCATCGGGGGTTGCTAGGTTGCTCCAAGTTTCTTTATTTGGTTCATAACCCAAAGAACATGTGGAAACTTAACAAATACGGCAACATCACTACTTTCAGAACAAATAAGTGGTACGACCCATCGTCTCTGACTGTGCACATAACATCCTTCTTGCATGTCCCCTCCCTTCTTCTTACATACCACTGTCGAGTCATTTCTTTAGTGTTATACCATCTTCTCCGTATCTTGGAAGCTGGTGCGGTCGTTCAGCGATATGTGCGCCGAGAGAGAACCGTCATGGTGTCCGGCTGCCGCCGCTTATCAGTTCAAAATAGGTCGTTGTAACTATCTCGGAAACCCCCGATGGTCTAGTTGGATATGGCGGTCGGCTGTAATGGAAATTGTAACCGACAGGTCGCCGGCTCGATTCCGGCTCGGGGGATCATGAGATATCTTTTTTGCTTTTGCAAATATATCTTTTGACATTGAGGACAGTACCATTAAAGCAAAGTTAGATGCTCTTCCACATTGTCGTCTATCCAGCGGTGACGATTTTTTCCATTTGGCGCGAGGTTGGCCAACTGCGTAACTTTTGTGATCCATAGCCCTATTATTATCGTGCTCTGTACTACGTCCTAGCCTCATTCCGATATACCTAAGTTGCTGCACCGACTTGCGCCCACCAATCCTGGAAATCTATGAAGGATAGATCGATCCAATTACAAGTATAAAGTAGCTCTAGACAGACGATGCTAGTCTGCTGGACGGGTTTGATGCCTCTTGACACGTGGGGACGCAAGGGGCCAATTGATGCAATGACGGGCATGCAGCCTGCATATAATTCGACCATTGCAGCGGAACGATCTTTTCAGAGAACTAAAAGCAATAGTCAATCGAAGAGCGGATTTAAGCAGTTAAAAAACAAACCACGAAAAAGAATGTCTCTGACTCCCCCGAGCCGGAATCGAGCCGGCGACCTGTCGGTTACAATTATTCCATTACAGCCGACCGCCATATCCAACTAGACCATCGGGGGTTTAGGAGACAACCGCCTCGGCAAACTTTGGATTCATAAAGCCGGCCTTGAAAAGTTGAAAGACCCAACTCGGTTTAGCAGCACACAGCTGTAGAAGATTGAGCTCTTGTACTCGGTAGATACCTCTATGATAGAAACATGCAAGACATCGTTACATGTATCGTGTGGGACAAATGGCTTATTACTTGGTATGGTCGCGTATCCTCCAAGCGAAATCAGAGCAGGAAGACATTCCGTGACAAGGCTGTGGCGATCCAGCGCAAATCGGCTGGACATTCTTACGTGTCAAATATCGTCGAGCAGCTTGCAAAGACAACTACACTCATGATATCCGACGGGTTATAAAAAAGACACCATAATGGGTTCTGATTGATTTTGTTGGATGAAACTTGCTCAAAGTAATGAATAAAAAAAGGGCAGAAAAAAGGTAACGTCCCCCGAGCCGGAATCGAGCCGGCGACCTGTCGGTTACAATTTTCCATTACAGCCGACCGCCATATCCAACTAGACCATCGGGGGTTTCGTTAGTGGTTTGGCAAATTAATGCTACATAGAGTGAAGCGTATGTGCCAAGCAACTTCTCTAGGCCCTCCCTTGCTCCCAACTGTTCTTCAACATCAATGATCCACATATGCAGTGTGCCTTTCTGCAAAGAATTTATTGTCGTGCAGGATATGATCATCTTCATGTATGCAATTTAAGAAGCAGGACATATTATTGTGCTGAGTGACAGTGTGATCACGTGTGCTCGTGTCATTACAGGGTAGCGCGTCCTTAACCCAAACAAGCCTGTAAACAGAGCTCACTCCCTTGACAACCACCATTTGGGACCGGAAACAACAAATCGACCGACTTGAATACCTCATGTGCCGTACATTTTGAACTTGAGGGGGGCCTTCTTTTTTAATGTGATCTCCTTTTTGGTATAATGATTAAGGAAATGGAGACTTTCGCCGCCCGTCTCGCCAGCTTTGATCTGGTTCTCCATCCCGAACGACGACGGACATCGAGCGCAAAGTCCGTCAAGCCGATATCTTGGCCTCATAGTAGGCCGTCGCCTGCAGAGGTATTACACTCTTAATATCTGTATCTTTGTTGACGCAATGGCTGACACATAGCTAAAGCTAGCGCATGCAGGATTCTACTACAATCCCTACGAGACCAACCCCGATAACACAACATGCTACTTATGCCAGCGCGCGCTCGACGGGTGGGAATCGGAGGATAACCCGATTACTGAGCACCTTAAACACTCAAAGGATTGCGGATGGGCTATTATGATGGACATCGAGCAGCACAGCTCAAATCCCGCTGAAATTGAAGATCCAACAAGCGACAGGATAGCGCAGGCAAGACAAGCCACTTTTGGCGATCAATGGCCGCACGATGGCAAGCGGGGCTGGGTTTGCCAGTCTGAAAAGGTAGTGTTGGACATGTTCTCAATTCCAAAGCGCAGTTTATCAGCCTTATGAACTTGCAACCTAATATTTGTGTCCATGACAGATGGTGGAAGGGGGATGGTACTTTTGTCCGACTGAGGAGAGCAATGATTTAGCCAGTTGTGCTTACTGTAAACTGTCTCTCGACGGATGGGAACCCAAAGATGACCCTTTGTCAGTGCCTCATCGCTCCTTCCCACTTGATATTCACTGACTTGCCTAGTGAGGAGCACTACCGACGATCAGCGGATTGTTCGTTCTTTGTCTTTGCACAGCCTCCTGGCAAGAAGTCAAAATCTTCTCGATCAAAAAAGTCGCGCGTTTCAAAAGCGTCGTCTCGTCTCTCGACCCAGTCTACAGTATCGGAAGCGCCCATGACCGCGCTTGACAACCAAATGGATGAGGATGATATTCCTCAGCCGCCAACAAAAACGAAAGCCCCCAAGAAGTCATCGAAATCCAAATCGAAGACCTCGAAATCTAAGAAGGATGATACCTTGGAGCCTGATAACCAGATGGATTTAGACACCATGGAATATGCCCAACCCGAACCTGCCAAGCCCAAGCGGACCAGAGGCAAGAAAAGGTCTAGCGAGGAAATGGACCCAGAAGAGTCTAACATAGCTATTGCTGAGGTTATTCATCAATCCGAACCTCCGACCAAGAAGAGAGCGACAAAGTCGCGCAATAGTGCTACTCAGCGAGAAGACAGCACTCGCGGTGACGTTGCTATTGCAGATGTACATGAGGCGGACGAAGAGGCCTTGCTCGAAGCTGAAGCTAAGAAAGGGCGTGCGACCACCAAGAAGAAGACATCTTCCAAAAGTCGGAAGGTTTCAGAGGATTCATTGGTAGAAAAGGCAGCTCTGGAAACTCGCTTACCGCGAGATTCCGAGATGGATGCAGCAATTGAAGCCGAACTCGAAGCCGGGGAGCCTATGGTTGAAGAGCCTCCGGCGGAAACACACAAGTCTTCGAAGAAATCGAAGTCCAAAAAGAAAACAAAGAAGGCAGCAGAAGAGCCACCCATGGTGCAGCATGATATTGTCGAGCGAAACGAAGAGCAAGAGTTGCGTCGAGTCGACGACGATGAATTTATTTATAGGCGGACTAGTGACATTCAGTTGCCAGCCGAGCAGCCGAAACCAGCTAAATCCGCTACCAAGCAGAAAACCTCAAAAGAAGAAAGGCTTTCAGAAAAGAAAACATTTGAGTCACCTAGGAGTCGCCCAGCAACTATAGTTGACTTGCCAGAAGTTGACGCTGAAGCTGATCGCAGGCACCAAGGGTCTTTCGTGTCGGTGGAGGTAACAGCAAGGGATCCAGAGCAAGACTTCGAACCCGAAAAGAGAGATAGTGGCTCTCAAATGAAGAAGGCGACCAAGAAGTCCTCGACCAGCAAAGCGAAGAAAACTAGTCACGCAAGGGCCACATCTCCAGAGTCTGGAACTCCTGCATCCGAAAGGCCTGATACAAGGCATAGTTTGAAGCCGGAGGCACCTTTGCAACCCGAACAAAAAACAATTTCTCCTCACAGTCAAGACCAAGTACAAGAGCAAGAGCTGGAGCCAGAATCGGAACCAGAGCTAGTGCAAGACCCTGAAGACGACATAGAGCAAGATAGGGAGGTAGACCCGGAGCCGGAGCCGCACCTGGAAGTCAACGAAACGCCTGTCCGTCGCCGGTCATCCAAAGTCCCGCCGAAGACGGCTGAGAGATTCAGCGACATCCCCCAAGAGAAGCAATTTGCCAAGTCGATTGCGGAAACTCGAACGCCGAATTCCCATAAAGTGCCACAAGCTAGAATACACTCTAGCCGACAGGAAAGCGATGCGGTGTCGCCTCTTCCTTCCACTTCGAAGAGTTCGCCATCTTCATCGCCCCAGTCTTCCGATGCTGAGAACCAACCTCCAACCATACAACTATCGGCTCCAAGGGCGCAACTAGCATCACCGTCCAAGGAGAAAACGGTTCGAATTCCCTTGGCAACCAGTACGCCCTCGCCGTCCAAACGAAATGCGGACTCTGGCGCACTCAGGAGCTTACACCCCTGGACACCTATTGACATAGACGAAATTCTCTACGCCTCAATGAGCGATAAGGAGAACGTGGATGTAGGGGCTGCTCTGAACAGTATCAAAGGAGATCTTACAAGTCCCGAGAAGAAGATGACTGTAGAAGAGTGGGTTTACTGGCATGCTCGGAACGGAGAAGAAAAGCTCAAGCGCGAATGTGAGAGATTGGTCAGTCAGTTCGAGAAGGAAGGGGCCAGAGCGATGCGCGCACTGGAAGGGATCGAGTGCATTGATTGAGACATGGCGTTTGAATTGAACAGGGTTGGTGTTATGGGATGGGAACAATGGCTCTCGGTTTAAGCACTTATTTTGTTGAAGGCATTCTTGGACACGATATCTCTGAAGCGAATCTGCAATATCACAGCGCGGTAAATGCAATTCTGTCTATCTTGGCACTAACAATCCAGCCCCAAAGAAACCCCCAAAGTAAAACCAAACGCCTGGGTATCTGCAAAAATTTTGATCCCTCCAAGAATTGAAGTTGTTCGTATGTCCAATCCCTTTTGGCGCCTTGTACTATGCGATAATGCCGAGTCGACCTTCCCAGGAATCTTCCTCCTGCTTGATCCCGTTTTCTCCATTCTTCCGACGCTTTTCGTTCCTCTTCCTTCTCTTTTCCTCTCTCTCTTTGGCCTCTTGTTCCTCCCTCTCCTTCAATCTTTCGCCAAGATCCAACTGCCAAGCACGCCGTTCTTCTTCCTCCCTGACTCGCTTCTGATGAGCCAGAAATCGCAACCGCTGCCGCACGTCCTCCAAACCAGCACGAACCACCTCGCCACTCTGACCCGTCGCAATCAAGTGTTGCTTGCTGTTCAAATGCTCCACCAGCTGCAGATTATCCTTGAAGGTAAGATCACAGTCGGAGCAGTAGAATCCAGCACCGCGACCCCTTTTACCCACTGCCGACCCCGCTGGAACAATCGTCGTCTTGCCCACCATCGAGGCGACATCGAGGCGCTGTTTGCGCGAGGTTGTCGCCTCGAGCGTGCTGTAGTCCACCGGTGCGTGCCATTTTTTGCCTAGGAGCTTTGCCTCATAGCGCGCCTTGCCCTCTTCTTTGCGCTTCGCCTCTTCATCTGCGGCCTTTTTGGCGTATTCTTCTCGGTCCCATGTTTTGCGGAAGGCGGTATCTGATGAGGGGGCTCCGTATGCGGTGTTGCCTTTGCCGGACATTGTGAGGAGGGTTTGGTGGGAAGTCTTCTATTGGGTCTGCTCAGGCGGTATTCTGTATTTCTTCGTACGGAGATGGAGGTGATAATTCTCAGAGTAGGAGAATCGATAGGATTGCTGTGATGATGGGAGATGAAGCTTTCCGCAGTGATGAGGGCAATAGATGTCCGGAAGTGGCGGGCGGTGAGGCGGTGGCTGATGCGGATGAATCATATCACCGCCAAAGAACGAGGGGGAAGCCCGTCGCGTCCATTCTTCCTCCAGTCTGTTATTAATATTGTTTATTAGCATTTGCTCGAGCTGTATATTTACTTTTCTTAGTTTCACTTTGTGGTTGTTGTACAGAGGGTGTGGGTGAATGGCGCATTGAGACATTGGTCGATCGCGATCACTCCTACCTATCATCTCGAATTCTCGACGCCAACGGGAAACCCAGTGAAACAGGTCATCGGATTCCTTTTATGGGGTAATGTTGGTGCCTCAAGTTGCTTTAAATAGTCGGATCGCTTCGTATTGTCCGTCCATTCCTTTCTGTTCGTGTCTGGACAGCCACCTTTCTTTTGTATTGAGTTTCAGGCAACACCTTTGCTCCAGTAACATATAATTGTTTGTGTTGGACTTGTATCGTTGAAGTTGGCTCTGGCGTTCTCTCTACTTTGACTCTCAACGAACCCATCCAAGCAATATGCAACCAGTTAAGCATTCAGTCATGGACGCTCCTTTGGAAGGAGAATATGTTTCCTTTGAACACTCTCTTATGGCTCTACCAACAGAGCTGCATTTACAAATCTCCTCCTATCTTTCCTATCCCGACGCTTTGGCGCTCAAGCACACCTGTCGTCATTTCTACTATCTTGTCTATACCGGCGTCCATCTCAAAGTAGACTGGCTGGTCGAGCGTTTTGAGCGCAAGCTCGAGTGTCCAATGGAGAAATGCTCCTTTCGGACAGACGAGTCGTTTTGCAATTCAAGAATTAGGGGAATCATGGAACGCCGACGACGACATTTAGAGTGTCCTCGAAGAAGAGGAGGATGTCTCGTCATCGAAGGGAGGACCTGTCAGAAGGACCTCGTTCCGATCTGGCTGAAGAGGCAGGGCCGGGTGAAATTTTTGAAACATGCGGGCAAGGAAGGTCTGTCGGCAGTCCCGTGCCCTTCGTGAGGCCATGAGTTCGGTCGAGCTCCTGTGAGCGCTGACGCTGAGTCCCTTCTAGTGCTGATCGATGGTTTGATCTTCCTCTGCGTCAGCTTGTTATGGAATCTTGTGAGGTAAACTCGCCGCCCGGGTGCTTCCATGCGAAACGTCTGCTCACTTCCACAGGTGGTTTTGTCGTTGATAGGACGAGATGCGCAGCATCACTTTATAGTAAAGACAGCTGTGACTGTACAACTCATCGTCAAAGTTGTACGACTAGACAGCCGGCAACGATATCCATTTCACTGCCATAGCGCTTCGTCAAACTTCAAATCCACATGAACAGTGGGAACTGGCTATGATGAGGGAGCACTTCTTCACGAGCGGTCGATCACTCAACCCAGGTTGGCTTTCGAGCGATGAGCGGCATTCGACAGTGTCCAGAGAAGTCGTGAATGCCTCTATCTTGCGAGCAGTAACCGAAGAACACCAGGCGCTCGCATGCTATAGTTCAACGGAAAAAGCCTCAAGCGATTGGCGGGAGCATGAATCATGGCACCGAGTTACGTGCTACTGGAAACAAGCGCCAAATCGCCTCCTTTCCCGTATATTCGGTGTCCCTTTGGATATGCTGTAGGCGAGGCCAATCTTCTTCTGCATCTTTGTCATCAGCATCGCAACGAAGCGTGAGCTTCATCGAGCCCACATCGTTTCCTTCTCGACTTGGGCTTTGATCGAGATGTGTAACGTACTTGTGCCTCCCAATAACCGAGAATCGTCTCGGATAACATTCTAGCGTTGGGTGGTTAGCAGTGATGATCTATCGCTTGAAGTATTCTGTAATTCTCACAATGACATTCATGCCTCTGGCTATCGTCTTGCCATCTGAAGGCGAGGAATGAGATGTACAAATAGTCATTCAGGTAATATCTAATTTAATCATACAAATATCATATTGTGAAAGTCTTTGTTCCGCATCCCAGCATCTTAAATACTTCTTCCCTTCCTTGAATACTTGGCTTTGCTGCCATTTCTCTGATCATCAAGAACAATGCCACTGAACGATCATTGGTTTTGCTACAAAGAATTACAACACTACGCCCAGTACACTCAAAAGGTAATTGCCTGTGGAAATATCGATTAACTCAAGAACCTGGGTTGATGCTGCTTGACGTCACTGCTACGCCAGATCTTGGTGATCGACCTGGGACACAACAACATCATCGTCACACCTACAGTACTCCAGAGACAGGCACCTTTGTTCCTAATATATGCTGTCCCCTGTCAGAGACCGTGTTTGATTGGCTGGACATAGCTAATACGTCAGTCCAGCTGGAGTCGGAACAGCCGATAATACCTGTTGCTGGCATATATATACTGCCCACCTTCGTTATCTCTCCATATACGTTTCTAGTGACTACTCATATTGATTTTTTATCCTGTCTATCTGTACAATACACAATGTCTTCCACGATCAACACAAGCACCGGCAACAAGCCCGTCGACCCCTACAAGGCCAAGAGCCTCGAGGACCCCCCTCTCCAGCAAAAAGTCGAGGACATGGTCAACTTCATCAGCGAGACCAAATTCGGCATGTTGACGACGAAGCTGTCCAACTCGGACCTCTTGACTTCGCGGTGCATGGCCCTAGCAGGGAAGGTACCGTATTGATTCTTCCACCAAATGACGAAAAAGAGCTGACGCAATGGCGAATCCAGGAGCACGGCGGTATCGACCTCATCTTCCACACGAATCTCTTCTCAAGCAAGACGATGGATCTCACGGTCCACCCGTCAGAAGTCAACATGTCCTTCCTGGACCCCGTGAGCGGCTCCTGGGCTTCGATCTCCGGCACCGCGGCACTGGTCGCTGACCAGGAGACCGTGAAGAGGTACTACTCGCCTGCGTTGAAGGCGTGGCTGGGTGATCTGGGCGACGGTGTGCATGACGGTGGCCCGGGAGATCCGCGAATCGGAGTGATCAAGCTCGAGGCCAAGCTGGCGACGTATTCCATTACGCGCAAGGGGATGATTGGCAGAGCCGTGGAAACGGTCAAGAGCGTCTCCAAGGGTGATGTTCCTGCTATCAGCAGTCTCAGGGAACTGACTGAGGAGGAACTGGCTGAGTGTAAGTCCATCTGAGGGAGTCACCGGAATGACCCCCTCAAGTACTTTGCAACGTATGCTGACTTGTTCAAGGGCGCCGGACGCACCAATGATTGTGTGCTGGAAAAGGTTTCACGTTCACGATTTTACGAACCCCTTGAGCTGTTTGGGCTGCGAGCATTCTGGTAATGTTTCTCAGAATAATTGATTATGTAGTGTGAAAAACAACATTGTGAAATCTCATCAACGCATGCATAACTGGAAACGATATGGCAGAAGATTTCACCAAAACAACTTCAGTATCGTACAATCGTAGTTCATGGGTATCTATCGTAGTATAGCTCCGCAGAAGGAAAGAGTAAACGCCGGGAAATAAATCGTGTGAGTCGTAAGACGGTGACAGGATGTGGAACTCGGTCAAATCTGGGAGTAAATCAGCATGGAGGTCAAAATACAGCTAAGAATGGATCCTACCAATCTCAAAGGCATACGGGCCGGGATGCGCCCGTTGTGCAGGAGCATAGCAATATTCTTGTTCGGAGTGGCTTGAAGCTTACGGTAAGCCTCACGGATGTGTCTTGGTTCAACTGGCGTACGTCCCTCTTCGGGAGGATCGAAAAGACCAGTTTCTCGCTTACGCTTCTTCGTGTTTTCACCTGCTCCGCTTTCGGCTCCTCCACGACGGATCTTCTCACGGTCCTCGCGTTCCTTGACCTTGAGAGCTTCTTCGGTCAGGGTCTGAACTATCTCAAAGGTCAAGAATCCAAGGATATCGACGATATCGTCATTGGGTTTCGACTCCGTCACGATGCCAAAGCCAGCCCACTCTCGAAAACGCTTGCTCTTGCGATAGGTAAACGATGCTTGACGGCATTCTGACCAGAACACGTACTCTTCCCTGGTCATGTTCTTTGTGCGTTCATCAGCTGCTGCAAGACGTTGAAGAGTTGCATAGTTCTGCTCCTCTTCCTCCTCATCTTCTTCGTCCTCCCTCTCCGGTACCTGGACGGAGTAGAAGCTATTTACATCCCACACAAGGCCAACACGCGCCCTCTTGTTTTTCGGTTTGGAAGCAACATCTTGAGGCCCGGCAACGACGCCTCCCGCAATCGGGTCGTCAGCACCTGCGAAGTCCGCAGCGTCGGCGCCACCTTTATCATCCGAGTCTTTGACGTTTTTACGGACATCCTTCCAGGAAAGGAAGGTCTTGAGACGTGAGACTTTGGCCTTGTCATGTCGAATTAAGAATATCAAATCATCTGTAGAAATAGACCGCACACCCCGGCGAGTAGCCAACGTCGTGCTTCGTGCAAGCTGCAGTGACAGTGTTAATCAAGCATCATGCCTCATGGAAGGGAACGCATACGATCTCAATCACTTGCTGGCGGACGATATCCTCAATAAGTGTTGTCGTTTCAACGGATGGTTCGGCAGTCTCTCCAGAGACGAACATCATCTGCGAAAGAGATCAGCAAGCTGAGTTCGAAATCTGGCATGGTACCCGAGTCCGTTTCGGAATGATTGAAGCCTTCTCGGACGGCACCCTCAGCATTTCCGTCCGAAAGAGACCGAACCGAAGAGTTGAGGCACTCCGGTTAGAAGATGCAGCACTTGAAGTGCAGTGATCTGCCTCTCAGATGGCTTGCTCTTTCTGACGAAAGGACGACAGGAAGACCACACGGGACTGAGGAGGGTAGCAAGCAAGGCTGTAGATAAAAGGACAGGAGAACGGGTGATAACAGGATTGGTTTAACAAAGAGTATATGAAAAAAGTAGGTCATAGAATAGTAAGCCCTTGCAATACATCACGTAGAGGGTCACATATCGAGAGAAATCGGGGTGTCAAATACACGATATGTCCCAATCTGGATACAATCAATGGCAAGGAGACCAATGATAACGGGAGCTTTGAGCCAGGCAGACGAGCAAATACACAAGGATAGGCAATAAGATCATTGCAGGCCATCGTTCGAGATGAAAGAGCCGAAAGAGTACTACAGAAAAGGCAGCTGACTTACCTGCTGGATCTCCTGCCGATACTTCGGTGTTCGATCGGTCGCCATATTGGATTCGCTGAACGCATCAATCGGCGGCAATCAGGGTTAGAAGCCGTAATGCAAAAGAGTAAAACTGATGAAGAATGACAACCCCGATTACCAGACTGCACGACGCTCACGCCAAACTATAGAATGATCTGATAGGAAACGGACCAAGCGCGGCCAGGGCCATTCCGATACACGGGAGTTCTGTTTTTCCGCCTTCCGTTTATCCCGCCGCATCTGGTGGGGTGGAAGATAGAAATTCTGGACGGGAATGACATTCTCCCTTCTACAGGCGTTAAGCCCATTGACCGAATATTGCTATTGAAATCCATCCAAGATGTTGTATCTTGTTGGTCTTGGTCTCGCTGACGAAACTGACATCACTGTCAAAGGCCTCGAGGTTGTCAAGAGAGCTGAGCGGGTTTACCTTGAGGCATACACAAGCATTCTGCTAGTGAGCAAAGAGAAGCTAGTGAGTCCATTGCGAGACGCTACTGTACAATAGTTGGCTAAAGAATGAACTGGTGCATTAGTAGGAAGCGTTCTATGGACGTCCCGTTATCGAAGCAGACAGGGAACTTGTTGAGACCGGCAGTGATGAGATCCTGGCTGGGGCCGACAAGGCAGATGTCGCATTCCTTGTAGTTGGCGATCCTTTTGGGTAGGTTCCCTCACAAATCAGGACCGTCCGACGTTGCCTAATTGCATACAAGAGCCACGACACATACGGACTTGGTTCTCCGAGCTCGAGAGATGGGCATTGAATCCAAGGTTATCCCGAACGCCTCGATCATGTCCGGCATTGGCTGCACTGGTCTGCAACTCTACAATTTCGGACAAACTGTGAGCATGGTGTTCTTCACGGAGAACTGGAAGCCGTCCTCTTACTACGACCGGGTCAAGGAAAACGTTCAGTTAGGCCTCCACACATTAGTGCTCTTGGATATCAAGGTCAAGGAGCAATCGTATGAGAACATGGCTAGAGGACGGAGGATATTTGAACCTCCGAGGTACATGACCGTCGCCCAATGTGCGAGCCAGATGCTGGAAACCGAGGAAGAACGAAAGGAAGGTGTCTTTGGACCCGACAGCCTTGCGGTCGGAGCTGCTAGAGTCGGCGGTCCTGACCAGAAACTGGTTGTGGGCACTCTCAAAGAACTGTCAGAGGTGGACATGGGGCCGCCTTTGCACAGCTTGGTGTTGCTTGGAAGAAAAGCGCATGATCTGGAGCGTGATTATATCAGAGAGTTTGCTGTGGATAAGGCAACCTTTGATGCTAGCTGGAAGAAAGGGTATGGGGCAACTTCATGATGATTTAAGTGATACATTTGCCTTATTGCTTTTAGAGAATACAACACGGACGCAATAGCACACCGTACACCAGAGACTTTGTACTAGAGTGGAGATGATCGGAGAATTACCTGCCTAGTTTTGAAGTGCAGTAGTACCATAATTCCGCATGGGGATACCCTGCGGCTAAAATTAGCGCATAAAAAACGGTCTTTAAAATATTTGATCGTTTGCATATCAATTGTCAAAAGAGGCAGAGTGATGCAGACAGGTCCAAAAGGCGCATGGTGGCACCGTGGCACCATTCTTCAAACATTCGTCGACGGGGTTTTGAGTTAGCGCCAAGTTCCCAGTCCACCTGGAAAATGATCGATTAAATGCGACAGGTAGCAAACACCTCTTTTCACCCTGCCATACCTTTTGTGCAACGACATGCCCTTCGCACGACTTCGAGGCTAATATGAAGCTGTGCACAAAGTCACTTGGGCCATTGCACCCTCGCTTCTCCAGCCAGAGACGCCAGATCTAGCGACCGATCCCATCCCTCCCCGCCATGCCCGTATACATGGTCCACGGCTTCCGGTGGCCACGCGCCGGCTTCACCGGTATCCGAGTCTACATCGTTCTCCACAACCTGGAAGACGCTACAGCGGAATACGTCCAGCAACCGGCGACAAGTCGACTACTTACCGAATGCTTCAAGAAGACGGATCCGGATATCGTAGCTCGTCTACCGGACCTACAATTCATCGAGCAATATGACCCCGAAGACACTGATAGCGCAACCGCTGTCAGCCAGCCCTATGCCTACGTCGCGGCCAAGGTGATTACACTCTCGGAACCTGGTGCTAAGGCGCCGGGACTCAGCTGGAATCCCGAAGACTTGGCTAAGGACTCCCCCTTGGAACCAAGTGCCATGGAAGCCCTGACGCAACTCCGAGATAAGTACGCCGCAGGCGAGAGAATAGGCTGGTGGATTGTTTACAATGGGGACCCAGACAGGGCTTTCCCTCATTCCGAGGAAGACGACAGTTATGATGAATACGATTATGACGATGATGACGATGATGAGTACACGGAATCAAATGGCGGTAGTGTTAGGAACTCAACAGCACCAGAAACACCTCCTAGCCCGGCGGTAAGTCTTGCCCTTCGTACTTCTTTGATACTTGTGACAGATTATACTGACGGTTTGGCGCATTCAAGGCTCGATTCCCCGTGAAGTTCGCCAGGTTTTTTGGCAGGTAAACGGCAATATACTACTAATTTACGGCGAACGAATCTCACAAACTCCCATACCTTGCGATTTCTTGCGGAAGGAGTCTTTCATAACATCTTGTCATAGCATTTGTAACCTAGGAGTATCGGTTCTACATCAGTTCAGTGTCAACATTCGCATCGCAAATGGTCATTAAGTCTATCTCTCTGCAGATGTAGAAAGGAATGTAACCAGTCATCAGCTCCGTAGTATCGAATTCGCATCTATGGTCAAGCGACATATTCTGATCGTTAACAGCGAAGATCAGCGCCATCTTGTAGCAAAGGCGGTGAATGATGGCAATATAGGATCGAGGCCATTGCGGAGAACCTCCCGGAGGTAGTGACTGATATGTACTCAACTACGCCGCGTCATCTATTCCGCAAAACGGGGAAATAAAAAGCGGGATGGTTCTTTCATTTATACTGGTGCAGAACCGCCAGTGAGTTACAGGTTCTCCCCGGATCGAGTCCGCCTTGCGTTCTAACGGATGAACAGGGGTAAGACACGCCTGGCGAAGTGGTATGCGCCTTATAGCGTAAGTCGTCTTATCTTTCTAGTACTGGTACGATTTGCTAATTTGTGGCTTGCATAGGATGAGGAGAAAGTAAAACTCAAGGGCGAGGTTCGTGGATTTCCGACAACCCTACTCCCTGAGATATACGATGTCGAATCTTCATGGCTAACCGGTTGATATCAGGTCCATCGCCTTGTTGCCCCCAGGGATCAGAAGTATCAGTCGAACTTTGTCGAGTTTAAGCGGAGTACAAAGATCGTGTACCGGAGATATGCAGGGCTGTTCTTTTGTGTGTGCGTTGACGCGACGGACAATGAGCTAGCCTACCTGGAGGCTATACATTTCTTCGTCGAGGTCCTGGACCAGTTCTTTGGCAATGTCTGTGAGCTGGATCTGGTATTCAACTTTTACAAGGTGCGTGCGGTCTATGCAGGTGGTTTATGTTCAAGGACATTGAGGGCTGCAGGAGATGTGATTCGATTGTCGGACAACCATGGTGCTAACCGGGGGATGTGCGCAGGTATATGCGATTCTTGATGAGGTGTTTCTCGCGGGCGAAATCGAGGAAACAAGCAAACAGGTTGTGCTTACGAGGCTGGAACACTTGGATAAGCTCGAGTGAGTTCTTTGGGGGCCAAATTCATCGCAGAGGGGATCACTCGCTTTGCCGTTACGTTGATAAAGCGGACGTTAATTTGCATCAAGGTGACCTTGGGATATGGTCATCTCACGGAGTTATGAGGGCTTGATTTAATGATTGTCACATATTTGGGTGCATTTCTCGTGACGTCCATATCTGCGTCACATTCACCGTTCTCTCTTGTATCTAGTTTTCGAACACACCGATACCCTATTCGTGGGAATTGAGGGTTCAAAGGTTAGGCAGCACCCATGAGAGATGTACTGTGCAGGGACAGCGAACAACAGCCGAAAAAACTGCCGTGATGCTTGAACAAGGCTAGCGGGGTACATGATGGTCAGACATGCCGACCTAACCCTCCAACCGCAGCAGGTAGCAACAATACCGAGGAGATGTACGATGTACAGGATGCAGCCACTTCATTTAAGCTCAATTAACGTTTGCGAGCTAAATCTGAGTGTCTGAGATCTGAGTTAATAGGAGTTTTACCAAAATTGGGATGGCTGAAGAGGGTGAGGTGATCACGGTCTGCGATTGCGATAGTAGTAGTTATTGTGACAACATGTCTTGGCATCAGGTATAAGAAGGCATAATGCCATGTCCCTTCAAGACTTTTGTTTGATGCTGTGTTCTCATGGCAGAGAATACAATCTGTCTCTCAATGCCTCACTGAATTATTTGAATTGAACATTCACCTCTCTCGCGGGACATGAGCAGTTTACATGCTCTCGCTACTTGCCCAGGTGGAACAAGGGTATACCTAAGAGCTGACATGTAGCAAACTCACAGGCGTCTCAGAGATCAGCAGCCTTCTGAAATGCCTCCTCGGTCATACTCTCTACGGTGCTACATGGGATGATGATCATGAGCTCCAACTGAGTCCGACGGCAAGTCGGCGACCCATTCCCAAGCGGCCATACCTCTCTTCAGTTCAGATTACACAATCAGAACCACCTATCGCTTTGCACAGCTGTCGATGAACCGATACGTACCATCTGCCAAGCGGGACTGGATCCAGTCGAAGATCATCATAAGACATCCGACGATTGTTACCATATCAACAAAAAACCGCATCACAATCAGCGGCCTCCGTTCCTCGGCTTCCAGGCCATCGAGCCAGGGCCCAGGAGTCTAAAATCGCAACTACTACTGGCACCATGCACGAGTCGATCCAGGACGATCAAACGGCAGACATGGTGGTCTTCATGAAGATGAAACTTTGATTTGTGGCGACGATAATCGAAGGGGAAATGAATATGACCAGAATAGTTATCAGTCACACATGGGCGACAAATACAACAGGCGGAGACTAATCAGCAGAGAATCACATTGCCACTTGCCTTCAGACTTGAATCCACTTTCCGAAAGACCTTTTGATTGCTTTGACGGCGGAAGACCCAGAAATGCAACCTTTGAAGCCATACAAGTGGACCTCCGTACGAACATGTCAATACCACCATGAAAGCAGAGGTAAACAGGGCAAGTAACAGACGACCGTATCACAGACTTACATGCTTACTTACGCATTATCATCTCGCTTGCGGGTGAAGAGGGCCCAGTTCCCCCACCCGGAATATCGGCCCTGTTCTAGAAGGATAAATGATACGCTCATCCTACCCCCATCTGGTCTTTTGTACCGAGTTTCTTGCGGAGTTTAGTCCGAGCTTGACAATAGACGTCAAACAAAGACTTGGCAATGTTACAAATTTACAAGACGGAGTTACAAAGGCCATGGGATTTCCCAAAGCCCAGAGGACGAAATTCTACGGATATGCAAGGATGACCGTCATCTGGCGTCTCTGCACTGTCTATGGCAAGTCGCATGCTGCATCATCAAGCGTTGCCTCTGCTTTGGAAAAAGGGATTTGAAGCAATTCATAGCAAAACTGACACAGGGGTATCTTAGGGAAATATCAAGTTCTAGACAATGGAACTTACGTGCAGCTCATGGTAACCCATTTTCATTAGTGAAAAGTGGGGCGGTACCTGCGTTTCAGACCTTGCGTACGGATATTGTCAGGTTCGATACGCGTCAGCACGGCCACCCGCGCCCAATCAGGGATCGGAAGCGCACCGCCTTGATTAATGATCCTTTCCGCATTATCACTTTCATCAGCGTGTCTACGCGGCAAGATCTTTGGGTTTGCGGTCCGGCGGTCTTGGCAGGCGTCCTGTCCAGTCTGAGAGGCCCGTACGATTGAATATTTCCCGTTTCAAGTGGCTCTGTTGTCAAGCAGAAACTTTGCCATGGGCGTACGCAGTTACGCACTTAGAGCGCCTATCTACACACTACGTGCGTTGAGACGTCTTCCTGGTGGAAAAAGTCGGGGTGTCACCTCCTGACGATCCTTTGCTTTTTCCTTGGGTGCGTCAGCCAGTGACGTTATTTCAGTCGTTGGCGGTGCTTCAAAGCGCCCAAAACGTGGGCGGAGGCCCGCCGGACAGGGGAGAACCAGAGTCCAGACAGATCCGGATAGGGAGATCAAGAGTTCAACCCCCCAAGGTTAGAGGGGTAAGGAGAAAAGGAATTAGGCGGATAGAGGAAGGAGACAGCGTGCTCGAGAACAAGAATAGGGAATCAAGAAGAAAATTACCAACGCCACATT